GTGGGTTTTTACCTTGGTCCTTCATCTGCTGTGTATTTCTCTGTCTTCTCATTTTGCTTAACTTACTGTGTTTGGGGTCTCCTTTCTGCAGGCTGCAGGTTTGTAGTTCCCATTGTTTCTGGTTTCTGCTCCAGTGGCTAAGGTTGGTTCAGTGAGTTGTGTAGGCTTCCTGGTGGAGGGGCCTAGTGCCTGTGTTTTTCTGGATGAGGCTGGATCTTGTCTTTCTGGTGGGCAGGGCCACGTCTGGTGGCATGTTTTGGGTTGTCTGTTGCCTTATTATGATTTTAGGCAGCCTCTCTGCTATTGGGTGTGGTTGTGTTCCTGTCTTGCTAGTTGTTTGGCATAGGGTATTCAGCACTGTAGCTTGCTGGTCATTGAGCAGACCTGGGTCTTAGCATTGAGATGGAGATCTCTGGGAGAGCTTTCGTCGTTTGATATTACGTGGAGCCAGGAGGTCTCTTGTGGACCAGTGTCCTGAAGTCGGCTCTCCCACCTCAGAGCCTCAGGCCTGACTCCCAGCCAGAGCACCAAGACTCTGTCAGCCACACGGCTCAGAAGAAAAGGGAGACAAAAAAAGAAAGGAAGGGAGGGAGGGAGGGAGGAAGGAAGAAAGGAAGGAAGGAAGGAAGGGATAGAAAGGAAGAAAGAAAGAAGAAAAGAAAATATAATAAAATAAATTTACTAAAATAAAAAATAAAATGTAATTTAAAAAAAATGAAAGAAAGAGGGGCTTCCCTGGTGGCGCAGTGGTTGAGAGTCTGCCTGCCAATGCAGGGTATACGGATTCGTGCCCTGGTCCGGGAAGATCCCACATGCTGCGGAGCGGCTGGACCCGTGAGTTATGGCCACTGAGCCTGCGCGTCCGGAGCCTGTGCTCTGCAACGGGAGAGGCCACAACAGTGAGAGGCCCACGTACCACAAAAGAAAAAAAAAGAAAGAAGAGAGCCACCAAACCTAAAAACAAATCCACCAATGATAACAAGTGCCAAAAACTATACAAAAAAAAAGAAAAAAAAAACGGACAGACAGAACCGTAGGACAAATGGTAAAAGCAAAGCTATACAGACAAAATCACAAAAGCATACATATACACACAAAAAGAGAAAAATGAAAAGATATATATATATGTCTATATATATTTTAAAAAAGGAAGAAAGCAACCAAATCAGTAAACATATCTACCAATGATAATAAGCTCTAAATACTAAACTAATATAAACATAAAACCAGAAACAAGTTAGATGCAGAAAGCAAACCCCAAGTCTACAGTTGCTCCCAAAGTCTACCGCCTCAATTTTGGGATGATTCATTGTCTATTCAGGTATTCCAGAGATGCAGGGTACATCAAGTTGATTGTGGCGATTTAATCTGCTGCTCCTGAGGCTGCTGGGAGAGATTTCCCTTTCTCATCTTTGTTCACACAGCTCCTGGGGCTCAGCTTTGGGTTTGGCCCCGCCTCTGCGTGTAGGTCACCTGAGGGCGTCTGTTCTTTGCTCAGACAGGACGGGGTTAAAGGAGCCGCTGATTCGGGGGCTCTGGCTCACTCAGGCTGGGGGGGAGGGAGGGGCACGGAGTGCGGGGCGGGCCTGCGGAGGCAGAGGCCGGCGTGACGTTGCTGCAGCCTGAGGCGCGCCGTGCGTTCTCCCGGAGGAGTTGACCCTGGATCCAGTGACCCTGGCAGTGGCGGGGTGCACAGGCTCCTCAGAAGGGGGGTGTGGATAGTGACCTGTGCTTGCACACAGGCTTCTTGGTGGCGGCAGCAGCAGCCTTAGCGTCTCATGCCTGTCTCTGGGGTCCGCGCTGTTAGCCGAGGCTCGCGCCCGTCTCTGGAGCTCATTTAGGTGGCTCTCTGAATCCCCTCTCCTCACACACCCTGAAACAGTGGTCTCTTGCCCCTTAAGCAGGTCCAGACCTTTTCCCAGACTCCCTCCCGGCTAGCCGTGGCGCACTAACCCCTTCAGGCTGTGTTCACACCGCCAACCCCAGTTTTCTCCCTGGGATCCGACCCAAGCCCAGTCGTCAGTTCCCAGCCCCCGCCCACCCCAGCGGGTGAGCAGACAAGCCTCTCGTGCTGGTGAGTGCCGGTTGGCACAGATCCTCTGTGTGGGAATCTGTCCACTTTGCCCTCTGCACCCCTGTGGTTGCACTCTCCTCCGCGGCACCGAAGGTACCCCCTCCGCCACCCGCAGTCTCCGCCCGCGAAGGGGCTTCCTGGTGTGTGGACACCTTTCCTCCTTCACAGCTCCCTCCCACTGGGGCAGGTCCCGTCCCTATTCTTTTGTCTCTGTTTATTCTTTTTTCTTTTGCCCTACCCAGGTACGTGGGGAATTTATTGCCTTTTGGGAGGTCTGAGGTCTTCTGCCAGCGTTCAGTAGGTGTTCTGTAGGAATTGTTCCACATGTAGATGTATTTCTGGTATATTTGTAGGGAGGAAGGTGATCTCCACGTCTCACTCCTCTGCCATCTTGAAGGTCCCTCATGCTTTGCCTTTTAACTCTGATTAAATGGTAAGTACTTGCCGGGCGGGGGCTATAGCATGCTCACATTTTCTCTCCCCAGTACTTAGCCTGGTGTCTGGCCACATAGTAAAACTTCAGGGAATACTCATTGGATTGAATTTCTTGTGGAGTAGGGCCCAGTATTTTTAGGAGTCTTATTTTTCACACATACCATACACACAAACACTAACCTGGTTTCTTACTCATTTTCAAAATCCTGCTGTGAGATTTTCCTTTCTCTTTTCACATGATTTGCCTTTATCGGCCCTCACTCTGTTACTCTCTCCCTCTGTTATGTTACGAGGATACTTTATGAGGAGATACCACAGAGAAAACCTGGGTTTGTTTTCCTGCTGGTGTCTTACTTAGATGACATCTCTTCCCTTGTCAGCAAGTCTCTGCTGCCTCTTAGGTGTTCAGTCCCTGTGCTGTCAGCAGCCATCATCGTGCTGCTGTGTCCCTCTTGCTCGTTCCCTGTTGTCAGAAGGGGGCTGTTCCTTGTCCAAGGTGTGCACTTGGAAGTTTCTTCTCCTTTTCCTTTTATTCTGTCCCCTTTCTCCCTTTCATAGATAGTCTTTGTCATTCTGTATTCAGTGTTCCTTCCTCTTCTTAGTCTGAGTCATTTCCCTTAAATATGTTATCTTTACTGCCTACTTTAGCTTTTTCCAGTTAAGTTTCTCTTCAGGTTCCCCCTCTTGAGGGTCCTCCTGGCTCCTGTGTTTACTTCTCACAATGCAGCCTCAGTCTGATTGATTTAACTTGTCCTACTGTCTTGTGCAGGATCCATCTCACTCGTTTCCAGCTGTTCTCTTCCTCTCCCTCCCTTTTCTGTTTTTCTTCCTTGGTTTTGTCCTACCGCTCTCATAAACTCCTCCTCTCACCCTGTTTGTCTCATTACTCCTCTGAGGTCCTTTACCTTCCTCGCTGTTCCTTGCAGACGTTTATAGGGTCTCTGGGGGACTTGAGCTCAGCATCCATTTGAGCCTTTCCTTCCCCACTTTTGTCAGACCCTAATTTGAGGCAAGTTTTATATGCTGTACCTATATACACACCAGGACAGTATGATGCCCTTTTTTGCCCCTGGTGAGATTGTACCTTACCTCACCATAGCTGTACCATTTTATAGTCTACCTTAGTTGCGTTTGTGAGCATGTTCACTTGAAACATTTTGGGGCTTCTATATATTATATAATACTGGTTTAAAAATTTTAAAATCAGGAAACAAGGACTGACAAAGGATTTTTTTTCCCTCATATGGAAAGGCAGTACAACCATTTATTTAAGATTGGGCCATAAACCATAGCAGAAAAGAATATGAAAAAGAATGTGTGTGTGTAATATATATATATATATATATATCCATATATATATATATGTATACACACACACACAATATATGTATAACTGAATCACTTTGCTGTACGGCAGAAATTAACACAACATTGTAAATCAAATGTACTTCAGTAAAATAAATTTAAAAAGTAAAAGATTGGGCCTGTCCCTAAAGGCACAGATGTTCCCTAACCTTCCGGTTTAGGGTTAGGGAATGGTTATTAGCACATCCTTTTTTGCCATGATGCTCTAGCCTCTACTTTTCTCAGGAGTGATCAATGGAATTGACCACCACCTAATCAGCTTGCCATTATCCTTAGATTGAAGTTGTTTTCTAAGAGCAACCAAATGTTAAACCCTTTCTGTTCAGAAGAAGGACAACAACTGTTTTGTGTAAGTCCAGATACTCATCACTGATATGTAAATAATTGCATCAAAAAATTTCAGGCTCAACCCCTAGTTTATCACCCTCTAGTTTTGGTGTACTTACTACATGGTCTCTAAAGAAGCAACATCTTGTTTCATCTGCCTATTGGTTCTTGACTTTTATTCATGGTATAATTTGTTTTATTTCAAAGCTGCATCTAGATACATAGTTAACCGTCACTACCTTTGTCAATCAAAAATGCCACATACCATTTTTTGGATTTATTTGAAAAGCTATAATAGTTTACTCACTTCTAAAAGAAGACATAGCCATAGACTAAATGAAAGAGTGCTGTTTAATAAAATGGCCTATATGCTTTCCAGTCACTAACCTGAAGCATCTTCCATGACAATTTTTTTTCCAGTGAATGAAGAATGTTATAAACTCTGATTGCCTGCACTTAATTTCTGGAAGTTACTGAGGGTTTGCAGTGCTTATTGTCTGTATTTGAGAAATGTATTTCTTTTTTGCTTAAGTTAACTAGTCAGTGATGGATCAGGCCTTTAGCAACTGCTGATGACACTAAAAGATGTTAATTTAACTGTATGTTCAAGAGGCAAGCTAGAAGTTAATTCTAGAAGTTAAACTAGAAGTACGTTCAAGAAGACAAATTAGTATTTTGGTCGTGTGTGTGTGTGTGTGTGTTTTATTACTTGTGCTGTTGCCTGGGCATGCCAAGATTTGTTGTAACTAGAAGGTATTGTTTAAGTTCATTTAGTACATTTTGTGTCATTTTCTTCTAGTAAAGAGCTGAAGAAGAATGAAGGGGCAAGGAACCAAATATACAGAAATGAAATGACAAATTAAACCAAATGGAATTTCTCTTCAGAGTTCAGAAATTTCAGATGGCCAGGAAGAAAGGAAGGCTCTACTATTTCTTATCCTTATGAAAGAATCTAGAAAAATCAGAAGCAAGGTATGGGTGGAAAAATAAATGTGGCCTTTTGAAAAGCTTAATTGTTATAAACCATTGTGTTTGCTGTTGATCAAAGTATTGGTACTTGTATTTATTAGTAACTGCATCAAAATTACATTACCATTCTTGGAAAAATCAATAAAGAAAAACCATAATTGCCACACAGCAAATATGAGGAAAAAGTGTTTGCATTGTTAGGATGTCCATAAAGTAATCATTTAATATTATATCTGTAATGTGGTTCTGTGTGTGATGATATACTCAGAATATGAAATATCTGCTATTTAAATTTAACTTTATTTAAAATAAAGATAAGCAGCTTCAGGATTTTGTGTATTCAAAATGGTCCAAGTAAGAAAGGCATTAAAAGGTAACAAATGTTTACCTTGTTTTTAAATTTTTTAATTTGTTTTTAAATTTTTACATTGAATTATTTATTTCTTTAGTTCCAGAGTAACAGTGTCATTACTATGTGACCATATATTTTGAAGTGAGATGTTATAAAATGGGAAAGTTCATCTCTTTGTTTTTCACTTGACTCTTCTTAAAACTGTGTGATTTTAAGTCTGTCAATAAAATATGTAACTTCAAGAAGGTCAAAACTAATATAAAATTAGAAAACTTATTTACCAAATTAGACAATTGATTCCATTAAAGTAAGAAGTGAGAAAAACAGTGTTGGGCATTGAGGTGTAAATTTTGCCCAGATGTATACCGGATGTGAAAAATCTTCTAGTAGAAATATATTTGACTCTTACCCCTGCACATGTTGTAGAGGCATGAAAATTGGTAAACTTGCCCGTGCTGTGTAGAACTTGGGGGGAGGAGGGCATTTTTGAAAGTGGTGAGTGGCATTGATGACTGCTGAAGCCCTCAGCCATTAGCACAGAAATGTGTTCCGATAGTACCAAGCTCCCCTGTTCTAGATGCACACGTCTGTGCTTCAGGTACAGCTGGACCCAGCCAGCTTGAGTCACCCTTGTACAGGCTTGTTTTTTCTTTCTTGTTAATGCACTTGATAATGAAAAAAATAAAAATATGTGACTCTCTGCAGTTTCAGCTCATAGTTTTGAGATGTGTGTAGATTCTCTGATTTTGGTTTTAATTACAAAGAATTTCAGCAAGTTGCAAAATGATTTTAAATCAAGACAATAATAAAATAATATGTCAGAGGAGCTAAACATTTGCTGAAATCCCAATGTTCATATGAAAAATAAAGGGTTATTTTTATATTGTAACTACTGAAGGCAAAAATAACAATTGAGGCAAACACCAGGAAAAGTTGTTTCTACTCAAAGCCCATTTCTTTTCTTTTTTGTCCTGTTGACAAAGCAAGATTTGGGTTATGTTTGTGAATAGATTAATTATTATTAATTAATAATCTTCACCACCTTCTAAGATGAGATGGGGTGGGGGAGACCATAAGAGTGCCCTCCAAGTAATAAGTCCAAATTATAATCAAGCAGAGAAATCAGACTATTTACTTAGTAATAAATTAACTTTGTTTTATTTTTATCCTAAAATTATTGAATTCTATCCCATTTTATAGTCTCTTTTCTACAAACAAGTAGCAATTTGACACTATCTTTTCTAGATAATAAATAATGTCATTCTTACAAATTAATTTCCCAATTATTGATTCTACTCTGTCTTGAAGATTCGAGTTTCTTCGGTATCAAAACTATACAATGAATAGGATTTGCAAAGCTAGAATAAAAAGCAAGTTTTAAAAAGATTTAAAACTTGAAATATTTTACACCATGAATGCAAATTCATGTTTAAGATGCACCTTTTAAATATGAAATCAGTGTTTTAAATGGTTAACACTTGCTACTTTTGAAACCTTTCGTAAGGTTTCTTTCCAAAAAAAATGGATACTTGACATTAATTTTATTTTTCAGTTACAGAAAAGTTTTATTAGAGAAAGATATTTTCTCTTTAGGAAGTTCAGCAAGACTATCTGGGAAATAACTTATCATTTTATAACTTTATATGTCATGTTATTTTAGTCATATATTTAACTCACAACTATTTTTCAGAGGGTTAGAAAGTTCTAGAAACTATATAAAAAACTCATGACCTTATACTTTTATACGTATTTCAATGATTTCCATCTGAGGTCCATATCTGTTAAGTAGATTATGGGAACATTTTTCACTAGTCCAACTTTTGAAGCTCTATATTTGTTGATTTCTACCTCATTGGACTTGACTACAGAAGAGATTCCCCAAATCTTCACTTTATGTACGTGACCTCATTCAGTCCTCACTTCAAACCCAGGAGGAAGATAAAATCTTCCCTGCCCTGCAAATAAGGAAACCGGGGCTTTGAAAGTTAAGCAACTTGTCCAAGTGCACACGGTCAGTCAGTGTGTTGCTTGCTGTCCATGGAGGTTTGTCATACTCCACTGGGGCACCTCAAAGGTCCCCACCCACCTCAGGTGCTGGGTGCAGTGAGCCAGTAGCACCTAGAGTTGGTCTCCAGCCCACACAGAGTAAGGAAGCAACCTGATGAACGTACAACCACACTCAGAGACTAGAAACATCTCATATGTCTTCCATGCAGCCGTGACCTACATAAAATGAAATACCATATCTGAGTGAATTTTTTTTAAAAAAACTGATAATGTCTTTACCCCATATTTATTTTGCAAAATCTTTACTCCATACTCTAATTCTTACATTTTTTTAAGGAATCGATTCTGTGGACTCAAACTAACACATGGACAGTAACATTTTATTCAAGAAACAGTATCCCAGTCACATAAGAGAAAATAAAAACATCAAGAGTCACGTCAATCAAAAGGCTCTGTTGAGTGGCAAACTCAGTCTGTGGATGGACCCAATTATCTGCAGGCGAACTGAATGTCAGCATCATTTAGGGTTAACAATGGACCAGCTAGGCAAAAGCAGACAGCTACTCTCTGCAGAGACCCGGAAAGCAAACTTGGTAATGAGGTACTTCATTCATCATATCCTTCTGCTCTAATTATTAAAGTGAATAGGGAATACTTTAACTTAAGGCGGGAACTGGATAACATAAAAACATCTGTTTTGTAAACACAAAGAATGCTTTTTTTCTAATGATCTCTTCACATCTACATCAAGCATATGTTGTGAGCCCCCTGTTTTCGAAAGTTGCTCTTCTAACACCTCAAATTCATTCTGATTATGGATGGGTTATTTTGATTGTCTCAGAAAGTTAGGGAGGATGAAGCTGCTAAGAATCTACAGTTTTACTATCTACTCACAATCTAAAGAGGGGAAGGGTGTCATAAGTAAGTACATCTATAACCATGCATAACACATGTTCTATTACTTGTGTCAGAATGGTCCAACTATATATACTTCAATGTCATTCATCTCTAAAAGTACTAAACAATCTGATTTTTACTCATTCTAGTTCACTTTTTCTTAACTGATCACTTGGATCCTTGTGAAGAATTGTGAAAGAATTTGGTAGAGGAAAATGTAGGATTTTTTTTTTTATACAGCAATTATATAAGTAAACATATATTGCCAATCTTTAAAGTTGCTTGGAACGAGCTGATTTACTGTTGAGAGGGAACAATTATAGTTAAGAAAAAAAAAAATACAAAAGGAGGAAAAAGCAAGAAGGCGAGGAAAATAGCTTGTTGCTGGAGCAAAAATGAACAACTGAAGCTTGTGAAAAAGCAGTCGCTAGACCAAAGGAAGAAGGTTCCCTGGAGAAAAACGTGGTCGCTACGGTTCAGTTTTTCAGTGATTTCAACTGAGAATCAGTAGTTAATTTTTTTTCTGTTTAATTTGTTCATGGGACCATTTTATGTAAACACTCCACACAACTTTTTCCGGAGCTACAGTTATTCGATTTAAAGTAAGTGGAAGATGGCTAAGCACGGTGATGTTTTTAACATCCCTGCCTGTTATACAGAAGAAGTTAATGTTCAGAAGTATCTGCCATGCTACTTTTAGCAACTAAATATTTCCATCGTGGTAAAGAAATGTCAGTGAAATCTATGCACTTTAAGAACATCAAATTCTTATACTTATCATGTGTGCAGGCAGAGTACATAATAAGCTAGTCTATAGCAGCTGTAAATTTCTGAGGATTTATCTAACCACAAATACATTGAAATGGGGAAACGGGGCTATATTAAACTATGCAAGATGCTGCTGGAGCTTTGCCATTTCTGCAACATCCTGTAATTAATTTCTCATGACAGGTCTGGCAAACTGAAACATCCAATACACTTGCGACAGACAGACTAGAGTTGCTGCAAATCCTACAGTCCCATGAAGTGAAGGTAGTTTTTTTCTTTCAAACATGAATATAGCTCTGTTTAGAGTGTCCCGTAGCCAAGGACAAATTTGTCACTTTTTAATTCCAAAATAAAGAAGGTCTAGAATATAGAAAAGATCCTGAGCTGAGTGTTTAATCTATTCTCTGTGTTGCGCAGTCTTTCCCTGAAGAGGGACAGCCCTGGGTAGGGGATGATATCGTTAGGTTGGCATGCATGCCTGTTGTAGCTATGATGGGATTCTCTCCTGGGAGATTTGAGGTCAGTTCTCTCTCGAACACATCCTCTCCCTGTAAGCAAGACTCACGAGACCACCTTCTCCATCTGTGTGTCATTCTCTCCTGGAACCCATAATCCTGCCATCTTGCAAACTTAGAGCACAGATAAATACAGAAATGATCCCTGCTGCAACACAGAGAAAGAAAAAAAATGTAAATTTTTTTTTGCCAAAATAGATTTTCCTGTATAACAGTAAGTTCTTTGTCAGTTCATATCGATGTGAAAGAATGACCCTCTCTTTACCTGATGTGTGTAATTTAATACAGGTGTTAAGTGTTTGGTGTTAAGGATGGACCTTAGTAAGCAAGCCTCCTTCTTGCTGGGGGAGTGGAGATTCTGCCCCTAAAAATGAAATCAGCATATCAATGTCCACAGCCTCGCGCATTTCCTTTGGAAGGTCGGAGTTCCTCGGACTACAAACAAGAGGACACAAGGGAGAGTGGGAACCTTGAATCTGGAAGTTTTCATGAGAAGGGAAAGGTTCCAGGTGGTAAAGAATAGGATGGGTCTTGCTCAGCAGAAACAGAGGTGAGAAGCCAGGCAGGCAAGGGGCAGTGGTTTCAGCCCAGTTGCCAAAGGCTAACTGTAAACACCTGATGCTCTTTGTATTTTCTCCAGTGATTGTCTTTCCCTTTATCCTTGCTATTGAAAATGTATTCTGTTCAGAGGACCAGAGAACTTTGTTGCTTGGGCTTACGTTTTAGAGAAAAGCAACCACAGAATCCCAAACTGAATAACCCAAGGGGAAAAGTGAGCAAGAGACCATGTAAGAATGCTTTTGTATCCTTCCACTCCTCTCCACTGGAAAAGCTCCCTTCAGAGCTCATCTATGTAAAACTCTGGAAATGGAAGAGAGAGATCAAAACATAAAAAGGAAGACCCTTCTTTTTCGTACTTGTCCAGGGTCACAGAATCCAGGGCCAGGACCCCACCTCCTACTCCTACTGCTATTTACTAGGTAACATTCTCAGTTACCTTAAAGCTGAATTATTCAATCCTAATTCTTGAAAAATCCTAAACTTCTTCAACCTCCTACACAACTAAGAATAACATCCCGTATAGAGCGTGGTCTACATTCAGGTAAATTCCCCTTTAACACTAGGTTGTTATAAGTGGTGAATTTGAATGAGTGAGGGTTGAAAGTAGGAAAAGTATAAGGTGATAGCAGAGAGTCCAGAGAGAGACATTTCGGTGCACGCACAAGAGGTCGTTTTCTTTGATTTTTGGTTTTTTACTATGTTGACAATTGGATACAGATAAGGACTGATTCTATTTATGTATCAATAGCTGGAGTTACTGATAGCTTGCCTAAATATATCCTTATAGTTAAAGATCATCAATAACTTTAACACTTTTCATGTTTCTTCAAAGCGTGTATGATCGCTTTCAATTTATTCACCAGCTGATTATTGAAAGCCTGTTTGTCAAGCAGTGGGCAGGAGCTGAGTGGACAGTTGAACCAGGAGCCTCAACTCTTCTACTCTGTGTTTCACCTTGAAATTGCCACATGTTTACTGCCACCATCACCCCACAGTGGTTTTCAGAGGACTTCCACATACATTACTAAACTTGAGCCTCATGACAATCTTTGTTAAACAGAAAAGTCCCCCATTTTTCAAACCAATCGCAAAGAGGTTGAGTGACTTGCCCAATAACTGTTAATCAGCGTCCAGCTGTCCTCCTCCCAGGGCTGTGTTCTTTCCAACCAGGAAAACCCATCACTGACATCTGAAAACTGTGGAAATAAGTTATATGGAAAGCCAATATGTTCCCTGTACAAGAGGCAACATTATATAATAACACTAATTTGGATGTGGGTCTTTTCGGATCAATTTATGATCTCTTCCTGTAGTCAGCTATAAAGTGTTTGTTTTTGCTGCCATCCTATATTTAAATATATTTTTAAATACAAGAACTTAAAATGTAAAGTTGTAACAGAGGCCAAATAAAAACATGTAAAAAAATTTTTTTATTGTATTTTGTAGACAGAGGAAGAAGGAGATGTGCAGAAAATGCCAGAGTCCCTTTTCAAAACCTTTTCACAAATCAAGTAAAACAAAATCATTTTGTGCATTGTATATTGAAGCCAAATAGTTTTTATTCAAGTTACCAAATAAATTACATTTTCTATTAAAGGGCAGTAAATTCCCATTTGAGGTAAAACGTCATTATATCAACTAACTTGGAGGTACCACAGAACCTTTCATTAAATGCAAACCTGACCACGTCACACCCCGTTTAAAACTCTTCACTGGTACTCCCATCCACTCTTACTAAATCCAGTGAGTTTTTCCTATTTGCTTAACAATTATTCCTAGAAATTCAGTCCTGTGCTCTCTGATATCACAGGAAACTCTCAAATGAAATTCAGTCACCTTGGAAGTGACAGCAAAAGTAAGAAACTTGGTTGATATCTGAAAGTCCAAACCACAGAGCACAGCACAGACCTCCCTGATCTGTCCCCTCTGTTCATCCATGTCATGACTGCGTGTGGAGGTGCCTCTGTTCACACTGCAGCGAGACCATACTACTGCCCTCCAGGGACCATTGCTGCTTCAAGCCCTTGACTTATTCTCTTGACTTGAAGACACCTTTTTCCCAAAGCCTCTGCCAAGTATATTTCCATTCAAGTTTCATCTCAAATAACACATGCACTAAGATTCCTTTTCTAATTACTAACCATGGATAATTGTATTCTCACAGTGTCCTATACCTAATATCTATAAAGACACTTACTTAGCACATGACATTGAAACTGACAGTCTGTTGATCAATGTATTATTTAACATTTCTTGTGTGCCTGAGATAACGCTTTTTTAAACTGAAGTATAGTTCTTATATATATATATAGTTGTTTTATATATATTCTTATAAATCTGTGCTTGTGCTCAATATCAAAGGATATTCTCAAATGGAATGTAATCTTTTTAAAAATCTTGAATGCCCAGTAAGACTAGGGAATTTAGGAAGGAATCTAAGAAAATGTCATTAGTCATTCTACCGCGCCTTCACAACTGTCTTGTCTTTTTTCATTCTCTCTTCTCTTTCTCACACGCTCCCCTTTTCTTCTTTTCTGGCTCCCTTTTTCCTTCTTCTCTGCTTGACATCAGCAGTGGCATTCACTGAACTCCCCATTAAACCATCACTGACCCATCTCAGTCTGCTCCTGAAACTGGGAATCCAAGATGGAGGATCCATCCTGACAGTGACTTTGGCTACCTCTATCCAAGCCCCCAGTGCCCTCTGAGCAACACTTTATTTACATAAAAACACAATCTTTAAATGTGGATGTAGTCTTCCTTTCATGTCTTTAACTGTTTTTATTGAGGCAAACTATCTGGAAGAGTATCTATCTGATTTGCATAATATTTTACATTCCCATTCATCTGAGGGTAAAAATCCTCCAGAAGCCTTCTAAAATTTGTATATCTAACCCCATTGCCTGTGAATCTGATATCTTTACCACTTTTTTCTTAAAATTTCAATAATTTTCTGGAGAAAAGATTCCTAGATTCATAAACAAATCCCACGATATCACAATGCCTGAGTGTAAGCATCTAATTGTAAGAATTCACCACCTCACGCTATATGTGTTTATGCCAGTAAATGAATCTAGTCATTTTCATCCCCTATATTTTTATCACCTAAAGAATATCTAAAAACTTCAAACAATTCTTTGACCTTATTTGGTCTTAAGCAAGACCAATATCCAGCCCAGCAGTGTTTACACAGAAAGTTTCAGGAGCCGCCCAGAGGCCCCAAGGCAGAGGTCTATGAATCACACATAGACCTGGCTGCCTGGTGTAGAGGGATGAGGCTCGACAGTTCTCAGCTTGGGTTCTGCTGAGAGTCATGACACTTTGCATCCAGATTTCTGTGGGACTGATGTTACAGATGTTATTGAACACCCTTAACTTTTACTCATGTGCTTTCAACTTTGGATCTTCTATTTCTCCTTAGGATTAGTGCAGCTACTCCTGAATATAAACATTAATCTGGTCAGCTTCTTGAGAAATGCAGGCCATTGTGGTAACCCTGCTGTGACACTCATGCCATCTACACAGCCAGGGAAATGTGATTTTGACATTTATCCTCTTAAATAAATCATTCTTCAGCACTATCAGATCATTCCACTCAAAAACTTATTTAACCTTTTTAGTAGGCTGTAGCCATTAAGTTCACTCACAAAAAATGATCATTATTCCAATTCACTTTGTCCTATGCATAGTCATAATTTAGCAGGGAAAGGGAAAGTATTTATTATTATAATTATTCATGATTATAGACTAATTTTAATAATAGCTACCACTTGCTGAGCACAGGGTAGGTACTAGGCTCCTTGTCAGGGGCTTTATGTGCATAATTATCTCATTAAATTTTCAAAATAAGCTTACAAGGTAGATACCATTATCATTACTCCTGTTTAAAAACAAAAACTCTGAAGTTCAGAAAGGTAACACTGTATGTCGGAGATCACACAGCTTGTAAGTCGGGATGTCAGGATTTATATCTCTCGTTTGTCTGACTCCAAAATTCCCCTCTTAATTACTAAATTACTGCCCTTGAGTTTGCCAAACTACAGACTGTATGTTCTTTTAAAATGAAATGGCTTCTTTTTAAAATGCTTCTTCCCCTCACAGTTGAAAAAAGTGACTTTCTGTTATTTTAGAAATGCGTAAGAAAGTTAAACATTTAATATTTTCCAAATTTCTAATGTGTTTTGCAGAACAGTCTTCAACAAAATAGTTTGATCAAAAATGAATCTCACGCACCCCAATATTCATTGCAGCACTATTTACAATATCCAAGACATGGAGCAGCCTAAATGTCCGCCAGCAGATGAATGGATAAAGAAGATGTGGTACATATGCACAATGGAATATTAGTCGCCCATAATAAGGAATGAAATAATGCCATTTGCAACAACATGAATGGACCTAGAGATTATCATACTAAGTGAAGTAAGTCAGACAAAGACAAATATCCTATGATATAACTTATTCGTAGAATCTTAAAAAATGATACGAATGAATTTATTTACAAAACAGAAACAGACTCACAGACATAGAAAACAAACTTAGGGTTACCAAACGGGAAAGGTGGGAGGAGGAATAAATTAGGAGTTTGGGATTAGCATATACACACTACTATATATAAAATAGATAATCAACAAGGACCTACTGTATAGCACAGGGAACTCTACTCAATATTCTGTAATAACCTATATGGGAAAAGAATCTAAAAAAGAATGGATATATGTATAACTGACTCACTTTGCTGTCCACCTGAAACGAACAACATTGTAAATCAACTGTACTCCAGCATAAAACTAAAATTTTTTTAAGTGAAATGAAAAAAGGAATCTCAAAGGTTCATATTGAAATAGTCACACCAACATTTAGCATTTAAGAAAAATGTTTTCTTTCCAATTTTTATGTGCTACGGAGACGTTACCCTAGTCTAAAAGAAATAAATAATAAAATACCATCACCAGTGCATTTCACATCCCTGTAAGAATTGTGTCTATTAGGGTTGCGTTTGGGGTGAAGAAGAGGGTTGTGTAAGGTCTTCCTTCTTGTGTTTCCTCTTTAGTCTCCGTTCACCACCCTCAGGAGACAGAGCTGGCCCTTTATGTCATCATGGCCCGGGTACATCATCATGGCAACCATCTCATAAGTGTTAACTTGCCGTTTGCAGAGAGACAATATCTTTTCATCATTTATTCCCAATGTTACCTTTAGTGCCTGGTGCATAATAGGCACATTCAATACTCAACAAGGCAGATCACAGGTCCAAAGGCTTATTTTCTGTATATCGATAAGTTGGAGGTGAAATGTAGGTAGGGATATTAACAGATCATGGAAATTATGCAGCAGTATTACACCAATCCAAATTTCTGTGTATTTTTCTATTTCCTCTAGTAAATCTATTTCCTTTCCCCTCTCACTCCCTCCCCTCCACACCCATCCTGGCTTTTAAACTCTTACTTTCTCTCTATTTACAGCCAAAATTGTTTGCAGTGCCCCACACCTGACTTCCAGCTGGCTCTTGTATTCAGGCACAAACAAAAGCAAGACAAACACACACTGCATCTGTACTTTGAAACAGCCTCAATTCCAGGTGGTTGAAAGGACTCCCTGGGGCACCTGAAACTCAGGTGGGACCATAGCAGTGTTTCAAGCCCAGCCCACCTGTAATTCCCCTTTCCTCAAGGTTGCCAGGCAGTCAAGAGCTGGGTGTGCAGAACTGGTGACTCGAGTTCTATCAGGTGTCAGCCTCTGGCACGTGCAGTGGCAAGAGGCAGGCTGATCCTCCAAAACGTCTTCAGCCTGCGCTTCACTGAGGTCACAGCCCGAGGACCTCACGTGTCCCCATCCATTTCCCAAAGAGCATTTTCCTCCGGACTGAAGGCGAAAATCCAGCTTCCTGAACTAGCGTGTGCAGCAGGCGAGCTAGGGAGCCTGCCTTCTGGTGACCAGGGTGCTCAGCCATTCCAGGCCAGGTGTGGGTGCCTGGTGGGTCTCAGTTCTCCCCGTCACTGCTTGCCATTTCCTTGCAGTGCCAGTGGACCTCGAGGCATGTCTAAACTGCCATCACAGGCTTCCTTCGTCACTGATTTACAGCATCAGCCAAATAATCATCTGGCAAGAAGAAAAAGATAACACGGCGTGCTTAACAAGAAGGTAATGTGTGTGAGTGTTTAGGTAGTCGCTAATTATTTTCTGACTGGAGAACCAGATAGACTGTGGCAATGCTGTTTCTAACCCCACTGCTTTAACGCTTTCCTAAGTGGACAAATGGATGTGAATCAGAAAGGAGGGTAAAGTGAGGTGGGCTTAAAAAATAAAGATATCTTCTTTCGATTTGCTTGAGTTCCTTTCTGCCAAGAAATGAAGAAAGCTTCGGAACACCTTACACAACGTTTCCCGTTTTCTACCGAAATGCTTTTATTTAGAGTTCAGTTTTATAAATTAGCAAATCAAGTAAGAAGGAAGTCCCTTTCCTTGTAGCACAGCTTAACAAGAGACCCAGGATGAAAACCTCTGCAGAATCTTCATTCCCAGGACCATGGAGGAAAAAATTTATAAGATTTATGCAAAACTTCAAAACAAGCCCCTCCCTACACACACCTCCCCCTTGCGTGGGTGTTTCCTTCACCCCACTACCACCAGTGTTGGTTTTTATGTGAGCATAATTGTGCTTTTGTCTTGGAGTTGGCTCACCTCAATACACTCTAGTCTGAGATCCCTTGGCCTCAAGCCCAGGGTGGGGCTTTGCCCTCAGTACTGTAAATAATGGTAATTACCTTTACAAACTTAAAAAAAATATTTTTTTTTCTTTCCCAAGGCCAAGAATATCCAAAGCCTAGAGCATTCTATGTAACCCCTTGTGCGTAAATCTGTTAGAATCTGTATGGCAATGAGAAAGAGTTTCTCCCTCGTGGAATGAATGTCCAAAGTGAAAAGATGGTCACCAGCGCTTAGCTGCCCCGTGGATCACTCTGGGCCTGTGTGGTCTTTGCTTCCAGATTATAGTGGTGATGTAAGTCCAAAAGAACGGAGTAAATTATGAAGTAGAATTTAGCGTTTATTCTCACCGCTGACGCAGAAGTTTCTGTGAATTAGATTGAAACAGAAGCATGTTCCATGTGCCTGCTATCAACTCACAAGGAGAGGAGTTAGGCCGCCTGATTCTAGACTGGGCCATTTCCAAGGCATTACTTCCTGCAGTATCTCTGTCTGCTTGACAGCACCTATTGTTCCGATTAAGTTGACATGCATCCAAGCTTTTGCCTCATTAGATTATCTCCATGGTGCTGAGGCTATAATTTCTGCATAATCTTGGTGTTTTATTTCATGCACAATCACTAGCAGCTGTTATCCATGTCTAAGATCAAAACAATTAATGAAAATTCAAAAATTTTAAACTCAATAGCTTTTGGCCACATCGACATATCAAGACTCATACAAAAGTTTTGATTTATGAATGAGATAGATTGGTTTCCCGGGCCCCAGAGTTCCTTTGATTATTTTACTTCCAGATTAACTGGCTTGAGTATGGAGACCTGAACATCTGGACAGATGCCCTTAACCTAGCATTCACTCATTTCAAAGGCGAACGACCCAGAGTGGGAAGCCTCTTGGGCATGTGTGATAACTGGAAATTTACTAAGACCCTCAAGGAAGTGTCAGCCTTGTCTGCATGTCATTTTTTCCATTCAGAAGTCAAATTATTGCTCCATGGCTGTGAGAGTTATTGAGGGCATGCTCTGTGTTCATGTTATCGTGTGTTCCAGGCATTTAAATGATCAAGAATATTCATCTGTGAGGTTTCTTGTGCTAAGAGGAGGTGATTCATAATGCAGCTACCAGAACGTGAAGCTCTGTGATCCATCATATACCATCACTTTATTAACAATCACTTTCCCTTGGCTCAGGGCCCTGCTGAGGATCAAGAGGGGTCCACCCCCGGGCTCTGGAGCCTTCCCCTGAAGTGCTAACTTATAATCAGCAGTAATAAACTTCCCTTCTCACTAGGAGGGCTCAATGTTTAGGAGGTAATTTCTCTTTGGCACTTGGCCTCATTCCAAATGTTCAGAACTTCTTGTGGAGGTTCTGAGAGCTATTCATGCAGCCCTGCTGATGCTTGCTCATCTGTTTGTTAAAGACTCCCTTGTCCCCATGTGACCCCTCAATCCATCCACCATGCAAGTTCCAAAGACTGACAGAGAGAGCACCATGCAGATGGCTGTCTGGACTCTACACAAATTCAACCCTCCTGGGGGACTCCCCAAATGGCTAATGTCCTTGTGCACAAGAATGAAAAGTGACTCCATGTGAGGTACAGTGCGAGTTATTCTGGGGGAAACAGACACAACAGCACAGAACTGGTGAGGCGAGGCTGCCCCGTTCACCATCTTTGGAAATTTTAAAATTGGGCTGCGTCTCAGTATCTCTTCTCTCTGCTGCACAGTCTCTAAAATAACTTGTTTGATGGTGATGGAAAAAAAGCTGAGGGCAAACAGGAATTGGTTTTCTAGGTCACGTACTTTAAGACTTACTGAACACCTAGAGAATCCAACACACAGTATCATCCCCATTCTGGAGGAGCGTCCATGGAGCGCCGTCTCTGAGGGTCTATCGATACAAAAGGAGTGTCTCAGCCTTGGCATCCAAGCTGGAAAGGCTTAGGGATAATTTTTCAAAACTTCTGTCTGAAACTGTTTCATTCTTTCACTGAAGGTTAACATTGGTTCGAAGTACTATTGCCATTCATTTGTGTTGAACTTCATTAGAACAGAGAGAGGGGTAGGGGTAGGAATTGTTTTCTAAACCATAAGACTTGACTCTGGTTCATTCAGGAGAAAAAGGGGTTAAGTCCTCTGGGTAAAACATTGTCAATCACTAGTGGCTGCCACCAAGATGAAAAACAAGCTGCACCTGTACATGGGCAATTTAAGAGATTCTGGTCAGCTATTTTTCTCTGGTGCTTTGTTCTGCCAGCTGCCTCTGCTTTGGATGCAGGTGGAAGCATGGACTTTGCTATCTATAAAAAAATTTAATGGTGAAGATCAACTTCCGCTTCACCTCCCCAGGGATCAAAGTTTTGGGGCTCTTTTTTTTTTTTCTTTCCCTGAAAGACTAGTAGAGCAAAGCTCAGATCAGACAATGGACATGTTGTTGAGAAGCCCATTCTCCCCAGAGAAGTAGCAGAAGATCTTTGGTGGGTTATAGTTTTTTTCTTCCCAATTTGAAGAAACTAATAGAAGCAGAGAGATGCATGCCTCCACAGGGTGAGGTTAAGCATCTGCTGGGAGGAGGGCTGGGGAATGACAGCTGGGGAAGACTCGTTACCACCACTACGTTTACAGTCGGCCACCATCGTGAGCCTGACAGGGAGCGGGCAAATGCGACATGGAAGTGACAGTCTCTGCGCCTGCCAGTGGGAGAGATGTGCTTCCGTGCAGCCTCATCTCTATGGAAGCAGGATGTCACAAATCTTACATGGGTTGGATTACTTTCCATTGCACAATCAATGACAAGCAAAATGTGTAGGTAGAAAAGAAGCTTAAAAATTGAATGCTCTATGGGCTTCTCTGGTGGCGCAGTGGTTGAGAGTCCGCCTGCTGATGCAGGGGACACGGGTTCGTGCCCCAGTCTGGGAGGATCCCACATGACGCGGAGCGGCTGGGCCCATGAGCCATGGCCACTGAGCCTGCGCGTCTGGGGCCTGTGCTCCGCAACGGGAGAGGCCACAGCAGTGAGAGGCCCGTGTACCGCAAAAAAAAAAAAAAAAAAAAAATTGAATGCTCTGGACTAACCCATACAAGAAGCTTAAGTGACGTGCCTCACCAAAGACATTCTCAAGGTTCTTGTATTAATTCATCAAACACCTGTTGCTACCATGTGCCAGGTTCTAAATTAGTTATTGGACATACAGTGGTTGTTACGAGCTGAATTGTGTCTCCCCAAAATTCATATGTTGAAGTCCTAACCCCCCAGCACTGTATTTGGAGGTAGAGCCTTTAAAGAGGTAATTAGATTAAAATGAGGCCATTAGGGTGGGCGTTAATACAATCTGACTGGTGTCTTCATAAGAAGAAGAAATTTGGACCCACAAGGCAACACCGAGGAAAGACCAGGTGAAGAGACAGAGAGAAGGCGGATGGCCATCTGCTTGCAAAGCAGGGAGACCTCAGAAGAAACCCAACCTGCCGACACCTTGATCTTGGACTTCCAGCCTCCCAGGACTCTGGGAAAACAAATTTCTGTTGCTTGAGCCACCCACTCTGTGGCAGCCGAGCAGATGATTACAGTAGTGAATAAAGCCAGGTCCAAGTCCTCACTGAACTTACAATCAGTTGAAGAACCGACAATGTCATGCCCATTAAGCAGAGGAGAAAGTGACTAAGGGCACTTTTAGGCATTGCCTGGCGAGCCTGACTTAGTAAGAGAACCAGGACCAGGAATTCCAGCTAATCTTTGGACATACTTCATTATGACACTTATGGTCATTACCCTTTATATTTGAATTAAGGGTTAAACAGAATTATCACTGTGCTTCAACATGAGAAAGCAACAAATCCTGCACTGATCACGTGACAGGGGGAGGGGAGAAATCTAACAGATACGACCTAAAAGGTTAAATGGAAAAGAAGCATGTGCCTAGATGAGCATCACATGCAGACACATCACAGATGTGTGGGCTTCAACATTACCAGTAGAAGGAAAGGAAATCTGTATATTTTTATAATCACTACACAGGTGCTTATTTTAGATTGTTTTCTTGAACGTTGTTAGTTTGTTGTTTTTTTTTTAACCTCACTGCCCTATACTTGTTGCCTCAAAGGAAGCATAACATTAGATAAAAATACAGAAGCTGCTATCTGGAGTTCAACAGGTTAAAACAGAGCTAAAAGTAGCTCCTAGGCATGTCATATGGTTGGCTGACTATTTAATCCCCTGATATGTACGAGAAATGGAAGCGTTCTCGTCTGCGTATCTGCCAACTGTCCATGAAGCTTTACTCTTCTCGGGATTTTGGGGGACATGGTCATTGGGAGACTGAGTTTACTAACCCAATGAAAAGTACAAAGTTCTCCTATGCTGACTAGAGAAAACTGTGACAGAATGTATACTTTCTGTTGTGTGGCTGATATACTCATTGTATGTTCAGATATTGTGATTCTGTCCAGACAGGCAAGGACCCCTGTGTGTGTAGAATTGGAAGTAGGTAGGGTCTCAGATAAAGGGAGAACTCACTTAGAGTTGTAAAAACACCACCACAGCCCTGAGGGTGGTGTGGAGACCTCGGGCTGGAACCCAGAGTAAGGATCTAATGGAAAAAACTTATGCAAGTGA